CACTTGGCCTTTATCACTCATCATTTTTTCTGCTCATAGTTTCAGTAAAGATAATTTAGTCAGTTTTCCAAACAAAGAATTTTTCCACCAAAAATGAGCACAGCTGCTGAAAAACTTGGTCAATGAGTATCAACAGTATCAAGATCCTGCAAGAGTTTATTGCTCACATCCTACTCCTTGTATAACAAACTTCTAGATTTCTGACCTTACTCTATCCTACGCTCTCTCAACAGAATCCTCAGACTACTGCAGCCACAGAACAGATTTTAAACAGCATTGTGTGAGAATTGCTTCCACTTCTTTCACTCTCCCAAACTTAAATTTATTTCTAATTTTTAGCAGCATTTAGAAGCAATGAGTCCTTCCATACCATGAGTCCATGCCAGCCACACCTGCTGAGCAAAGCAGGTAAAGCACAAACCCTCAGTGATCACAGTCAGAACAGAAGCTTTAACACAATGAGTGGTTTATTAACTGTGGTCAGACCTCAAACTGAAAGACAGAGGACAGATATGAGAAGAAATTCTTCCCTGTGAGGGTGGTGAGGTCCTGGCACAGGTTGCTCAGAGAAGCTGTGGCTGCCCCATCCCTGGAAGAGTTCAAGGCAAGGTTGGATGGAGTTTGGAGCACCCTGGGATAGTGGAAGGTGTCCTGGTTTATGGAAGGGGGAGCTGGAACTGGGTGAGCTGTAAGGTCCTTTCCAATGAAAACCATTCTAGGACTCTATCTGTACAACAGGAAAGAAAGAAGGAATACCCACCCACACCCTTTCACAAGAAGACCAGTCTTAAAATGTGGAAGTGGTAAAAAAATGCAGGAGGCCACAAGATCACTGCAGTGACTTTCATTCATGTCACAGGGGAACTCCAAATGTACTCCTCCTAAAGCTCCATGGAAAGAATTAAAGTATCCTCAGCAAAGGTCTGGCTTCAGAACCAGTTCAGTAGAGGCAAGTTCTCCCACAGAACTGGGATTTCTCTATCAATCTCTTTCATCAACCTGACAGGAGGTTGTAGCCAGGTGGGGGTCAGTGTCCTTGGAACCAGCAGTGGGACAAGAGGACACAGGGGAGGTTTAGGTTGGGCATGCAGAAGTTCTTCACAGAAAGGGTGAATGGGCTGCCCAGGGAGAGTGACCAGCCCCAGAAGTGTTTAAGAAAAGACTGGACGTGGCACTCAGTGCCAAGGTCTCGTTGGCAAGGTGGTGTTAGGTCATGGATGATCTCAAAGGTGTTTCCAACCTAGCTCATTCTGTGAGTCTGTGAATTTGTCCTGTTTCATGATGTGTAAGATCTATGTAACCCACAGAGGAAGGATCTGAAACTGCCTATTTTTCTTGTCTGGATTCTTAAAGAGTATACCTGTTTCTTCAGCTGCTCTGTTCTGATGCAGCTTCAGAATGCTCCATATTAAGAGTCCCTCGAGAGCAGCATCTTTTACCAACCAAGTAACATAGCTTAGCTGTACTCCCAGATCTCATTTTCCCTCTTATTTTATACAGAGATCCTCTGCCCCTCCAGAACAACTATAATTATTCTATAAAAACAGAGAGCATATGGAGTGCTTTCCTCCAAGCAGTGAAGCTGTGAAAGCCATGAACATAAGCAATTTAATAGAGGTGGTTTCCCTTCCCCACCAACTACTGAGAGCTGCTGTGAAATTCTGCTGAAGCCATACTGTGACAGGGTACAAAATAGCTATGAAAGGATTTGCCTGCATTACACAGGGCTTACTGTTAATTAGCTCTTGTACACATAGGCAGTAGATAAAACCAGCTTTTTTTTGTTGTTGTTGTTGTTGAGGAAGTGATGATTTGTTGAGAGGACATCCTTTTTGGATACAAAGCTAGCAAATAGGGTTGTAATTGGAGTTAACATCTACACAACATTCTATTTAAGCACTTGACAATAGTGGGCCTGGCTAATTAGTTTCTGTTAGTTAAAAGGGAAATGTAAATGAAATTTTCTTGGGGCATAAACAGAGACACCAGCTCACTCAGACCAGGAACATCAGTGCTGGTGCTGGTTCTTTCTTATCATATCCAACATATGTTCCTGATCACATCTTTAGACAGGCAATCTCACACACAGCAGAAAACAGAAACTTCATCCACTCCCTCTTTGATGATCTCTCCTAGCATTAAGGTGAATGAAGCCTAGCAAGGATAAATCAATTAAAATTCATATTTTAGGTAAACACTATGTCCACAGACTCACTCCAATAACTGCACTGGCCAAACCTTCCTGGTGAACTTGAAAGGAACCAGCCTTTCCTGACTGTCTAGGATATTTTCCTAATGAACATCAGAGCATTACTTTTACAGTTTTTGAATCATCCTTTCAGACAACAGTAATCCCAATTTGGGAGCAGACACACTCATCCTTTTGCTGATTGTTGCAGAATATGCTGGAATGTGCTATTGTGTGCTATTCCAACCACAAAGGAACACTGAATGCAACTGCCAGAAAGCAGCAAGAGGAGGAGTAGCATTGTAATAAGAGGAAGGAAAGGAGGATGGATAAGTCCTTTGGGCATTCTGTGAAATTCCAGCCTTCTTCTGCTTTCCATCTTTGCTTCAGCAATTTCTAGGAAAGGCTGGTATGGAAAGTGGAACCACAACTAAAGCCCTGCAGGAATAATCTATACACGAAGCTGCATGAGGAGCTGCTCTTTTGGACAGAGCTCTACTGAACTTAAAGATTAAAAAAAAAGCCAAAACCAAACAATGCAGAAAGAAACTCATTGCCAAAAGTCAGGTTGTTTTCCCACAAACTTGGAAGGACTAAAGATAAGCAGAAAAACTGAAGTTTCACCAGTCATTTGGAAAGCAAGCCATGTGATGCACGTCTGATTCATCTTTATTAAACACGACACAAAGAATTCCTTTGCTATTCTAGCAGACTCTTACAAAAGCCCTCAAGTCAATGGATCATGGCATAAACAATTTGCAAAGTAAAAAACTGGAAAGAGAAGCAACACTGCTATGAAAATGGAAATAGGAGAAGATGAGGAATATCTTGTTTGGGTTAAAGCCCTACTCTCACTTTCAGCTGCCTGAACAGCAGAAAACCCTGTCCCCTTCTACTCGCTGATAATTCACATCAACGGAAAAAAAGTCAATTGATAAGGGTAAGACTGATTATTAATTAATTTAAGATTTATAAGTCTCAGGAGGGTGCACAATTGTTAAAGGGACATGAAGAAGGTTCTGTCTAAAGTTAAACACATCCATTTTGGAGTAACAACCCTACTGTAACAAAAAGTGTCATTTTGCCACTGCAGTTTTGCCCATTTTCAGCCCAAACAGAATAAATCATTTTCACAATTAAATTAAAAAAGAAACCAAAACAACAACACAATTTCACAAATCTGATATGGAGGTATGAAGTTTCCTTCTTTGCATTGAAAGTGAAAGAATACATACTGACATTTAAACACAGTGCAGTAATTTTCCTAAAATAAATTCAGCAAGGCTGAAACAAGCAAAAAAATATCCATCAGATCCAAAAGGAACAAGAAACATTTGAGGGCCTTCCCCCCCAGACTGAATGGAGCAGGCCAGACTGAATGGAGCAGGAGTAAAACCACTGAACAGAGTGAAACAACTCTGAGGTTTAGTAAGAACCTTAAACTTTAGGAAATAATAATAATAATAATAATAATAATAATAATAATAATAATAATAATAATAATAATAATAGTTCTGTAGTTGTGCTTTGAGTAAAGTTGATGAAATTAGGACCCTTAAAACTGGGGCAGCTCTGTTTGGATGAGTCCATCTGAAAATGAGGCCCCACAGAAGCATCCCAAAACTGGATATCCCAGATCAGAAAGATTAAAAGAAAACATTGAAATATTGAAAAATACATCCTCTGTTGCTTATTCTTTAGCTAATGAATTAAGTCAGACTTGATACTGATTTAATAAATAAATGTACCATTTGATAGTATTTATGATGCACTGTTTTTCAAGTCCAAAGATGTTCTCCCTCATAGACATATTCACATTATGTACACAATTAGGAAGGAAAGTCAACCTTAAAACCTTTTGAAAAGGACAAGAAAAAAACTCAGATTGAAATCTTTAATGAGGTGAGTTTGATTGAATTTATGCATTTTTCATCTAGTCTTAACTCAGGAGAGTAATCCCAAAGCCTAGAAGTCATATTAACCAATTTGAGTTTAAGAATGAACAAATTCAATAGCAATGTAGGACTTTCATGAAAAAGAATGCAGAATAAAGTCTACATCAATTTGTTTCAGTTGTCATTACTGAGAAATAAAAGTGCTGCAAGGTTAGAATTTTTCTTTTAAACAGAAAATGAAAAAGAAAAAAAAACAAATAATAGTTTTATGTGAATTAAGGAAGAAATTTGGTTTGGCCAAAACATTTACTTTTTCAAGGGAAGGCGTTTGTTTGATTTAAAATCCTGTTTTAAACAAAACAATTAAAAAAACACCCAAAAGCAAACAAACAAAAAAAATAATAAAGAGAAAACGAGTGAATTCCAATTTTACCAGAATTTTCACCATCTAATAGAATTTAATCTGGAAACATGAGTGTCTACAGGAAATTTCAGAAATTTAATCTTTATTGGTTTAAGCTAGAAATAAAGCCAATTTCAAAAAGGTATATTCTAAATGAGTAGAAAATTTAGTTGGCTTTCAAACAGAACAGCAAATTTGGATGTGGAGAGGCAGACCTCCCTCAAGGACAAGCTGTGCTCTCCCCAGTTTGGGCTCAAAGTGGATAATATGACTTTCCTGTGGTGGGAAGGACATGAAGGATGGGGTGGGGATGTTACCTAGCGTGCTGTGGCAGAGTGGACTGCCGTGTCCATGGATAGAAAATGCAGTCATGACTAGCGGGGCCTCTACACCTGCAGGCAATTACAGAACAAACCGCGTCACTGCCGCGCCCCGGGACATGCACACTCATGCGCCCTTGTCCACACGTGAGTGAGGGATGGAGACACACAGGCAGCCAGCACCCAGCCAGTACCTATCCATCAGCCCAATGCAGTCCTCCAGGTGGGGCCCTATGCACCTGCAGCACATCCAAAGTGGAAACGGGGAGAGAAAGAGAGACATCTGTTATTTACGCGCCCGACGAGCGGGAATCCCCTTTGCGTTCTTAATTCTGGCTCCTCTTCCCTCTCTCTAAGAGAGACCTGTGACACCAAATATGACACTCTCTATGACACCAAAAAAATTATAGCTTGTGGTGAGAGGAGCAATGATAGCAGCAGCACTCTGAGGCAGGCCATTTCTTGGCTCAAACAACACTTAAGGCAGGTTTCACCTGCGTACGTGGGAGTCCTGACAACAGAGTTGCTTTCCCTGCCTGCTTTTATGAGTCATCAAACCAGTGATTACTGCACAAAAGCTGTTCATTTACAAGTTGAGACTTCCAGGAGCACAATCCAGAACTTGCTTTTCTTTCTGTAATTGATGCAATTGTTCATTCTGTTCTAAGCTCCCAGCCGGGGCAACTGCAGAAATATTTTGGACGCTGAGTATACTTTTTAACAGGGAAAAGCTCAAGGATCAACTTACAGCAACAAAAACCACAGCAAAATGGTGTCTGCTGATTCAGACATTTTATTCTGCTTTCCTTAGGTGCTGCCAAAAGTCCTCCACCTGCACAATCAGCAGGTGCTCACCAAAGGCATTGGAAATGCAAGGAATCACTAAGCACAGCACCACTGAAACACAGCCAGGGAAAAGAGTCTGCAGAACATGGGCATGTGTGCATTTCCCTTGCTCCCATGAAGAGCAGGACTGGTTTCCTGGTCCTCTGTGTTCAAACAGCAAGTCAAATATCCATTTACACAGCAGTCAGGATTCTCAGACACCTAAAGCTGAGCTTTTAGGGTTAAAACAACCTGACCCCCTTCAGTGCTGCACGCTAGCCATGGGGAGTATCTAGCCCTCGGCATTTAAGGAAACCAAACCATTTATTTCAACTCTTTAACAAGATCTCAGAGACATTTTATTAAAAGACCCTTTGGCTGTACATCTACTACAGGCAGAAGAGGTGATCTGACACATCAGTAGACTGCAACTCACTTCTGTTGAGGCATTTTAAATTTAAGGTGTGATCCCCAACTCTTTTAAAGTTTGCTGTTTTTCAGATTGGCTTTGATGGAAGGATATGCATGTTAAAAAAAATCTGAGAGTTCAAATAAGCTCCCATGAGATCTTTCTGCTTCACCATCACTTGCCACTCATCAGCCTTTGCTGCATTTAAATTGGTATCACTCTGCCATTATAAAATGAAGTCGGTGAATTCAATTTCCCCATACCTGCTCATCGGGGAGAGCAGACCAAGTAAGCCTTACCCTGTGTTTGTTTACTCGAATTTTTATTTTTACATAAGACATTTACTCTGATATGCAAACACAAACTGGAAGGATTTCCTCAATGATTGCTTCCTCCAGCATATGCGCAGACATAAAAAAGATATGTTAAATATCCAGATGATTCATAAACGTAAGGGGTCGATTCAAACAAAGTTCAAAAACTTGGTAGAGAGAACTTTTGGAATTTTAGCTGTCCTGGGCATCAGGGCTTTGGAATTCAGGACTGTCTGAATTTTAACCCGTCTCAAATACATCCAATGTTTCTTCCTTTCATGGCATTCTCAGCAATTTGGAGAAAACAAGCTCAGCAATGAAGAAGGCTGAAGAATCGCTCAGATTGTCCATTTCCTTCCATTCCAAGAAAAGCTGAGCTCAGACTCCTGCTATAAATAAAAAGAAGGGCATCTTCAAATTAGAAGTCTGAGAGCCTGCTACTAGTTTAGAGCAGTGGCAGGCTGACATCAAGAGCCTGTTGTCTCGGAGTCACTTCCCATGGACATTTAGAGAACGGGATTGAGTCCAAACCTGTACTCTTCAGACCTCACCCAGTGCACGTTGAAGTCTCATTGATTTTTATTTCAAATTGCAATCTTCTTCAGTGGACTTGGCTTCCCCAGAGAGAAAACTCTGTCCAGGTGCAATTCCATTACTCCTGGTTGAGCAGTTCCCAGTTTCCTCCCTGATTACATGCAAGGAAGTACAGCACCGTGTGAGTCATGGCAATATTTATTAACAGGGTATTTTGTACCACCAAATCTTCAGGTGGTTTTTCCCCAGGAAGGAACTCCCTTCATTTCAGGCTTTTTGACCCTTATAAGCCTGACACAATCATACATCACACTGGTAACCCCGTTCATACCCAGTGTTCTTTCTGCTTGGAGTCTGGATGAGAGTCTCTTTTCCAAGTTGGCTCTGTAAAATGAACTGGTTAATTGATACATGCCAATTTATTAATGATATATTTAGTACCTTACAAAAGTTCAATACAGCTTATCCAGAAAATTACACTTGGAGCTCATCCTAGCTTAACAGATAATTATCCTCTGAAAGGAAATGTGGGGTTTTGAAAATTGCAGTAACAACAGCTTTCTTTTTTTTTTTTTTTTTTTCCAAAAACAACCCAGAAATATTGTCATTTATCACTTTTTTTTAAGAATGAATGGTGGGGTCTTAACTGCTCAGATATGGGGTAGAAAAGCTGTTCCTTGCCAAATGAATTCTCAAAAATCTTGGTCACTGGAAACAAACAAAACTGATTTTACAGTGGTGTAAGTGGATTATCTCTGGGCAAGAGAAAACCTTTTTTGAGGTGGTCACCCAGCTATTGTTATGGATAGAGTCAGACAACCCTACCCAAGGGCTGCTGAGATAACAGGTGAGATGAATTCATGGTGAGAGGAACAAAGTTGAACTGGAGCAGGGGCTAGGAGGAAATTTTGCAGAACAAAAGAACAGGTTTTTCTTATCCAGAGTGTGTTTGCAATATTCTTTCACCTGGAATTCAAACTTTCTTCCTCAAAATACACCTAAGATTTAGAGGTAACAAGCTGTTTCTGCCCTCAGATCCCTTCAGGGCCACACACTCTTGCTGGAGCTCCCCTGACTTCTCTGGTCATGGCTTGGAAGGAAAAGTGCATTTTGGTGAGGAGTGATGCCCTCCCTTCAAAAAGCTGTGGGACAAAACACGTTTGTAGGAAGAGAGGAGGTGTCCAGTGAGATCTCCCATTTGTGTCCTGCCCAGCAAGGATGCAGGCTGTCACTTGCTATTGTGTAATTAGTATTTTATTCCTTTGGAAGTGCTGAGTTTTGGCCAGCTCTGCAAGGAGAGGTGCCAAACTCTCTTGAATTAAGTGGGATAGCTGTCCCACATGCCTCAGATCTGCTCCAAACTGGCTTCAAGTAGCTGATACTTATCCCAGGGATGCAAGGAGCACAGTTGTTGCACCCAAGGAAGTCACTGTTTGACAGTTCTTCTGGTCAATGCAAGATCATTAACAGGGCTGGATAATTAAACGCTTATTTAGAGAAACAGTCCTTACACTTGAATGAGGAAGGAGAATGGACTCACTAAAGCAGTCCTCTGCAAATGCTGAGATGGAATTTGTGGCAAAACACAGGAAACAGAGGTGGGACAGATCCTTCCTTGGTGACAACTGGGGGGGATGAGTGGAAGCATCATGTGAGAACTAATAATCTGTTTTATCAAGCAGCCTGACTCATAGAGAGCAGCACTGCAGGAATGAGATAATACCATACTGGGAAGCATTGCTCTGCAGCAGCTCAACCCTTTTTGATGGGTATTCCAGCTGTACTGAGAGGGCACTGCTTTTATTCCAGCACTTGATCTGGCAGCCAGGAGAACAGATGTGCGGGATGAAGCAGAACCACGTTTTCTCTCTACCTTTCAGCCATGAGCCAAACAGCAAGCTGTGTTCTCTCCACAACCTATTTATTTCAGTGAAGAATCATGACTGAGGGGAATTTAAATGCTACTTTCCAAAGGAAGGGTGTGAAACTAGAGAATTCAGCCTTGAAGGAGGGAAGGAGATAGTAACTGGTTTCCTGTCTCTCTGTGGGCAGATTCAGCTCCTGACAATGCTGGCAAGAAGATGGACAACCTGCAAACCCCAGACATCTTGGACAGTCATTAATAGCTTCATTAACATAATCACATGCCACAAAGCCTCCAGGAGCACTAAAAAGAGAATAGGATGCTATGCTTACCCATTGCTGGGGGGAAGAGAGCACTGTTTTTCTAAGGGATAAAAAAAATACCTAAGAATAGACACATCAGCTCTTTAATAAGAGGGCAAAGATTTCCACAGGGAATAGTATTAGTGTCATGGGAAAGAGATAAGTCCTCATCTGGGAGATAATCACACCTTGTATATGTTACTGGAGGAGAGACCTTTGGTCCTTTTACTTGTCCTTTCTCTGGGGATGGGAACGCAGTGGGATATTCTTTCACCTAATCAGGAGGAGAAAATAGAAAAGAGGGGAAACTGGAAGTCCAAGGATTAAAAGGACAACATCACTCACCATAAGGGAGCCCTGTGTCAGCAACAGCTGCCAGAGAATACTGCCAAGGTCAGCTAGAACTGCCCAGTGCCCTTCATGTTTGTCTGTGAGCTAGAACGACACATTTTCAGCACAAGACATAAACACTTCCCTGCTCCATCCAGGCAGATAAAAATAAACAACCACTTGCAAAATACGAGTGCCTGTGGAGAAGTGGGAAGGCATGGAGAACCTTCTGCTCCCTTCCTGGTCTAGGAGAAACGCAGTTGGGCCACAAACACTGGAAATAACTGGGTCAGTTAGAACTCCTCAGGAAGGAGGAGGGAATGGGAAGAAGTGTTGCTCCCTGGAAGCCAGGGGAGCTGCAAGGCACTTCCTATGCTGGGCAGACAGTAAATCCATCACACATCTGTGGTCTTGTCAGATTAAATCAGCACTGGCACCTTCTCCACCTATGAAAGCCAGGACCAGAGCTTCTAGAGTGAGCTCATCTTTTAATATCTTATCTTCTTACCCTTTTCTTATTTTTCTTATTGCATAACTGATTTAAAGAGGCTGGAGGGGAGACAAATCTGTAACAGATCCTGGCTGTGTTTCTGTGATCTCCCTCTCATTTCCCTAATGGCTCTATTGTAATTAGATTTGCAAAACCAGCAAAAGGTCTCATTTTGAATGGCAACAGCTGTTGACATCAAGATTACATTGAATAATTTACTGGTTTAATTTTAGCTGCTAAACAATAAGAGCCTCTTGTCAAGGATTATTTCACTGGCTGATGTTTTCTCTTTTTCCCATTGCTGCCTCCTCCTCTCTTTGCACGCTGGACAATCTGAATTGCCCCATGGAAAAGGCAGTAATAACTTACATGGCCTGTGCAAAACTATAGGTGTGTGTGTGTGTGACTATTGTTGTTGTGTGGCACAGGTGGTTAATTCTGGCTCAGATCCATGGGCTGCATTATTCCAAGTGTAACAAATTATTCTGGGCACTTTGACAGGACTCCAGAAATGGATGCTCAGTCTCAGGCTCCTGTACAAAGTCTGGTTTCAAACTGTGTGTATCAGTCCCTGTAGGAGAAGGAGAGCAGTAACACTTTTGTCTCACAGTACTGCTGCAGGCTGAGTTCACCAATACCAAGTAGCAGAGATTCTTTCAAGGAGCAAATACTAAAAATAAAATCATTTTACAGGTCTAAAAATAGGTGAAAGGGCAGCATTTGCTACAAACCAGTGTAGAAGGAAAGCTGAGAGCATTGCTGTGCAAAGTTCATCTCTGTGGTCTTCAAAAGGGTTTTTTTTGTGATAAGTTGTTGGGCGTTCATGACTAAAACCTGAACGCCATGAGAGACCTGAAAATCAAAGGTTAAATTCCTGCTGCACTCTCACTTTTCAGGAGTGGGACAAGTGCTTTACTAAGCCAAACCACCTAGATATAAAATATATATATATATATATATATATATAAAGCACCCTGTGCTACAAGCAGTAGATGGACAGGATGGCTCCCTGCCCAGAGCTTGCACTCACCCCTGGGTGCAGTTTGGGTGACACGGGTGGCACTCCCGATCCTCGTCGGCGTACTTGAAAATGAAGCTGTTGGCCCCCTGCAAGCCATCAGGACATTTTTCCACACAATTTGGACCATCCTTAAAATGGAAACACTTTGTGCAGTGGTCAGGACCCTGGAGAGCGTGGAAGGAAGAAATGCAGTGCATTGAAGTTACTCTGTCCTTTCCTGCTGTGCTAGGATTGCATTGGCACTCACTCAGCAATAACTGCAGCAGCTTCTCTTCCCGAGGAACAGCAAATTACCTGCGTGGTTCCAGCCTCTGCTAGGGAGCAGCAGACACATAAATCCTGCTGCTTTTGGCCATCAACTTCTTCTGTAGAGTGCAGGACTAAATACCAGCCTCTAGATGAGCTTCTTGATATTATTGGTGTGCTTAATACAATGAAGCCAGTGCCCACTTTAAAGCTACATTATTCAGTACTGAACCACCTTTGCAAAGCCCTTCAGTGGCATTTCCTGCTTCTGCACTCCACAAGCATTCTGCACATGGCATCTGGTCAAGGCTGAAGGACTACAAGGTCTCCTTCTTCTTAATACATATGAAGACCAAATTGTTAAGGACAAAAAGCCAAGACTCCTGGTCAATGTGGAAGCAAAATTTTAAAGCTGTGATGATAAGCTACTGTATAACTAAATCTGGTTTTCAGGTTGAGAATTGGCCTAGGATTTTATGTCCACAAGCCCTGCTACAAATCCAAATTTCCCTGATGAGCTGAACACTTGAAACATTGGCTTCTTGCCTTATGGCTGTATTGCAGAAAAACACAGTACTGTAAGAAAAGTTATGATGCCTTCATTTTAAGTCATAGAAATAAAGAAATAAATTATGGGTTTTATTTTTCTCGATTATGAAGAGCCTAAAATACAACTCCTCATTTCCAGAATACTTGTGACTTTTAATCTTGGCAATACACAGAAGACTAGAAGAAAGAGACAACTTCTATCTCCCAAATGAGCAATAACCTTTGAAAGAAAAGTTACTGGCCATTATAAAGGTGAGAAGGAGTTAACCATCATTTAGGATGAATGAAAAATGTTATCTATCAAAAGAACCTAAAGGCTATCTAAGTACAAAAAACCTCCCAGCATATTGTTCAAACTGAGAGACTGAGACAAATTCCCCCACTTTTTTTTTGGGAGGGAACCCAGGACAGAACTGAGTATAAATAATGAAAACAGGAATAAAAAAGAGTGCTCAAATCACAACTGCATGCTTTCTGTCTGTAAAAAATTGTGTGCATCTGCACCACTAAAGCATTAAGACAACTCAAGAAAGAAAAGGAAAATTTTCAAAATTGCTTTCTTAAGGAGGCAGACCTAAGGCAGTTTATTCCCAACACCAACTTAGCACCAGCAGAATTCCTTCCCTACAGGCAGAATATGTGTGTTTTCTGCTTTTGTTTCACTAATTTGCAGTACCTGCTGTAAAGTCTATGAGCAGGAAAGCCCTGTCCTTCAGCACACTTTCACAAGTTACCCTGAACCCTGACAAACAAAAGAAACCAAAAGCTGAGAAGAGTTATCAGGCTTTGTTCTTACCGGCCCGTAGCAAGTGATCATGTTTTCCTCCATCTTTTCACACTGGGGATCACACTCCACACAGACAGAACCGTTTGCGAATTCTCGGAATTCCCTGAGAAAATAGTTTGTAGGCAGGTTAGGAGAAATCTGACTCCAGCCCCAAACTGAGCTCCCTTGGCTGAGTCTTCACCTGCTGGAATTGACCACAGCAGCCACGTGAAGCAGAGACACCTTCTTCACCCATATAAAACTATAGTGGGGGCCTTCCTCTCATTTAGAAACACAGACTTCATTAACAGGACAAAATTGTTGACTTCTTGATTTTAATCTATGGGGTTGTGACTCGTGGCTCAGATTCAGGAATCCACTTGTCACACGTGGGCACTGATGACAGAGCTGCCCTGTTGCAGGTAGGTCTCTATAAATACATGCCTTAAAGCCCATTCTCCAGAAGGCTCATAAAGTTTTCAGCAATAATTCTAGACTGAGGTCTTAATCCATAACATGTCAAAACAGATCCTTTTACTCATTTATTTCATGTATCCACAAGAAACTACCACTCAAGTGACTTTTTTTTATTAATCCCTTTTAAGAGGGAAAAAGGGTAGTGATGGCAGGTTGAATTTCTTCCTTCAAACATTTCAGCTGCCAGTTACCCCTCACAACCATCAGGATCTGCTGAGGACATCAGGATTGAGCTGAGGACATCAGGACTGAGCTGAGGACATCAGGATAGAGCTGAGGAAAACTTCACTCAAGTGCTGCAAGGGAGCATCAGGATAGAGCTGAGGAAAACTTCACTCAAGTGCTGCAAGGGAGCTCTGGGAGTGGGATTTTCCTGCTGAGGACTAAAAGAGATGTCAAATACAGCTTGATCCCACCCTGAAGATCTGTTTCCTGGCTCTGGGAGTGGGTTTTTCCTGCTGAGGACTAAAAGAGATGTCAAATACAGCTTGATCCCACCCTGAAGATCTGTTGCTGCCCTTTTTCCTGCTGAGGACTAAAAGAGATGTCAAATACAGCTTGATCCCACCCTGAAGATCTGTTGCTGCCCTGCAGCATGAACATGCAGAGCTGTCCCACAAATAAAAAGTTCTTCCCTAGTCCACAGGTTACAGCTATTTTCACGTATTTAGGACAGAACTGAGCCTGTGGAAAGTGTAAATGCCACTCACTGATAGTTAGAGAACAGAACAGAACATTCTGGTTGAGTCTCTTCATGCTCTTACTCTGACATGGCAGCAAAAGACACCAAGGGGGGACCAACTTATTTCAACTTATTCCAACTTATTCCAGGGCACTGACAACACAACTGGGGTCTGCAACGCTTCTTTTGGGGGGAGAAGGGGGAGGAGAGGAGAACAGGAGCTCTTAAGCACATAAAACTATGCTCTGACAAACTATTTTTTGCAAGCCTTCTCCAGATGGAAGAGTTGAGAAGGTTTTCATGCATGTTTGGGAGTTCATTTGGCTCAGTTGAGCTTTATCTTTCTGCCAAAAGGCAGATTCAAACACTTTCTGCTCTGGGGGTATTCCCCCAGTATAAGCAGCAAAAGGAAAAGGGGCAAGAGCTCCTGTTGGGTGTTTAAATTTCTATTTGTATTTATTTATATATTTATATATAATTTTTTTATATTTATATATAATTTATATATTTATATACAATAGAATAGATAATATATATTATACATTCTATATATTTATATATAATTATATATTATTTCATATTTATTATTTATATATTTATCTAATATTTATTTTAAAATATATAATGATTATTTTAATTTTTTATATTTATATATGTTATATATGTACATATTTATATATTTGTATATGTTTATATATTTATATCTATTTATATTTATATATAGATATATTTATATGTCTATATATTTATATAGACATATATAAATATATTTTTATATATTTAGATTTATATATAGATATATTTATATGTCTATATATTTGTATTTGTATTTATTTATATTACCATTACACAGTGCATTATACAAAAGAGAGTGAGCTTTTCTACTTTGGGCTCCTTATTCAGAGAATTTCTTTATCAAATTCCTGAATCCAACTCATCTGAAAGAATATAATTGTATGGTTCTGAATAAGGGTATCAAGCAGGGATAAATGATGAGGGCTTTTGTGGACATGATTTTCTGAACCTGAGAGAGTTTCATGCTCTCAGTGGCTGATTAGTCTCTCAAGGGAAAGTCTTTTGGGAAACTTTTCTCTCACAGGGACTGTTGTGTAAATAAGATTTTTCCTTTTCAAAACAGTGTTACATAGATGTTCTAAGAGTGTTTTTCTCTTGTCCCACCATTGGGATGAGAGAGGTGCTGTTCCTGGTACCAATCAGGTTAACCTGTAGTGGAACACTTTATAAAAAGGGTTGAAAACCCCAAAATAAGGGTTCTTGCCTCCTGAGAAAATAAAACCTCAGCTGCTGTGATTCGAACCCTCGCTTCATACTTCGTGTCCACTAGCGACAGGTTTTTTATAACTTTTCACCTAAAACAAATTGTTCACGTTACCAGCAACACAAAGAGCACAAAGTGATGATGCAGAAGGCAGCAGAATACCAGAGAAAGCTTTCTCCACAAGTTCACATTTATAAATCTTAGTCCATGACGCTTTTCCCCCAAAATCAGTAATATCGGCGATGGAGCCAGACACTGAACAACGCAAACCCAAAACTGACTCGTTCACTGAAGTCCTCAGCAATGTTAGTGAGCAGCTTTGGGGGAAAGCCCAAGGGGAGTGTCTTACCCATCGTAGAGGTTGCAGGAGTCGATGCAGGTCCTGCCCCTGATGAAGCGCTTGCAGGACAGGCACTGGTCCGGCCCCGGGCCCCAGCAGCCGTCACTGGAGCACAGCTCATTGCACACCATCCCATCAGCAGCTGCAGAGACAGGGCTGCTGTCAGGAACACACACAGCCCCAAAAACCCAAGGGAAAACATTCTGACACGCTGGGAAACACAACTGGAGTGTCCCTGTTCTCCAGGATGGAATAAAAACATAAAGTCATCATCGTGCCGCAACACAAACACACAGAGCTGGGATATCACACACACTCCTGGACTGCTCCTTTCAGGATAAAAAGGTTTAAGAGAAGAGCTTCTAAAGCAGGAATAATCAGAGAAGCAGTCTCAGAGGTGGGGGAGAAAGGACATGATTAAAACTTCTAAAATCCTGAATGGCAAGGAGGAGGTGAGGAAGCATGAAGAAATTGTTCACTGCTTTCTCCGAGTCCCTTGTGGGCATTCAAAGAGACAGGAATCCAATAGGGTTAAAATCTGAGATTTTTCTTCATAGAGAGTAAAGATCAACCTGTAGAATTCCCTGACACAGGACATGGTAAATACCGAAGATTTAAAGGATTAAAAAAAAAAAATCCATTGTCTGAATGCACTAAAGTTCTATTAAACTAAAATATAAAATGCTCCCTGTGAATTGAGGAGTCCCTGAAATAAAACTTATGGACAGTGGGGAAAAAAACGTAGGAAAGACACAATTAATTGTGATTTTAAAATATTTATTTATATTATTCAGGTGCAAAAGCACCTGAAGAGCCAAAGAACCTTTCTTTTAAAACCCTCAAGCCCACACCAAAATACACAATGAGCTGAGGCTTAGAGGGAAAGTTTGTTTCAAACAGTGTAAGTCTGTCTTTTTATTTTATAGAAATCATTCTCCATGTAAATATGGAAATGATGTGACAAAGAAAATGAGCAAAGAGCAGAAGGAAACTGGGAATTCTCTCTCCAGCATCTGAAGAAAATCTGGGTGCACTTTCAGGCTAACCCTGGCATGTGAAAGGACAGAATGAATTTGAACTTATTTTTGCACAATGCAATGATTTACACAAATGGATTACACAGAGCACTGAGTAAATTAAACCCAGAAAGGACCTGAAATATCAGAGATGGCAACAATACAGATATTTGTTTACTTTTTAAGTCACCAGAAACAACTTAAGAGGAATAATAAATGAAAAGGAGGGGTGATGGTTGAGTTCTACCACCCTCTCCAACACCATCCTATTCCATACACCACAAATAACCTCAGGCACAAGAAGCCTGAATAATGTTTTATCAAGGCTGGGATTTAGTTTTTATTCTTTCTGTATCACGTATATGAAATATATTTTTAATGAAATAAAAAATGATTTCATTTAGGAGTCATTCCAGGTGCTCAGTTTGCTTTAAGGTGTTATTAATGAGCACAAATTCCAGCACAGCAAGGCCATTTCAGAGAGATGCCTTGTCCTCCTTCCCTGAGCTCTGCTGCTGCAGCCAAATGAGCCAGAGCAGCACAGCCAGCATGAGCAGAGACACAAAATTCAGCTTCTCATTCCTGTCCTACGCTGAATTTCTTTCAAGCACAGTAATATTTTTTATAATAATTATTTTATAATATATTTTTATAATAATTATCAAGTGTTCCACTATGCTGTCTGAACCTGCAAGTAAAAACAAAACCAAAACCCACAAACCCAGAAACTACCTTAGTCACAATTAATCAAACTTTTATATAGTTTCATATGGTTTTTGTTTTCAACTCAGTGACTCATTTTAAATCTTTGTCACTGGACAAAGGAAAACAACCTGGTTTGGAGATCCCTCCTTTTCTCATTTTTAATTTTAAGAATATTGCTAGCTCTTTTGGCTTTGTTTTCCACACTCATCACAAAAAGGCAGTTCCCTGTTATTTACTATGAGTAATTTCCTTTCTTTTAAAATTTTCTTTTTCCTTTCCTTCAAACTAGTCTGGGATCAGAATTTATTTGCACGGACAGGTAAATATCTAAAATATCTAAATAAATAAATATCTAAATAAAAACCTAAATATCTAAAATGTCTGTAAAAATAACAAGGGATATTATTACAAGATAGCTCAGAAAATACAGTGAGTAACTGTATACAAATAAAAGGAGAGCTTTTCAATAAAGAAAACTGTGGTTACCCCATTGAAATGTAGCCAACACAGTCCCCATATTCTTATGAAAAAAGCAACAGAAATAAAAAAATTATGATTTCCTCCTGAAACATTTCCATAAAAGAATCTTGGCAAGGAGGGAGTAGTTGTTTTGACAACTTAAAAAACTCATTTTTCTCCCCTTCTTTAATTGTGGGGATGGCTAAAGAAACATTTCAATTTTTGACACATTTTTTGGCATTTCCATGGTCTGAGCACGTTCTGCAGCTCCAACACATCACATGGCCTCTTGTGGAAGGAAATAACAACAATGTTCTTGACAGGAACTGGGTTTTGTCAGGAGTTTTAGAAGAAGGGCTCATTCTTTATTAATGGGGGCACACAGGTTAGAAGCAGAAAGGTTCAATGTTTTTCCCTAACTTAAATAGAACACAAGAAAATTAGCTACTAAAAAAAAATAAAAATTCTTTTTATTTGGCTATATGCTTCTGGGCCTGATCCAAAGCTCCATGAACTGAATAGAAAAACTCCTGCAGACTTCAATTAGCTTTACATCATGCCCAATAATGAATGTAATCATTTATTCAAGTTGTTAATTGGTGGCTAGATTGATATAATTCATAATGATCACATCTGTAACAAACTTTGCCTAGAAGGGTTTCACCTTACACTGCAGGTGTCACTAAAGCTGAGAGAATGGTTTGGACAATTGAACATTTTTATTTTTCTATATTTATTTTGTGTGTATTTTGTGACATATTTCACAAGTCACCTCTGACTGTCCCATAAAAAAAAAAAAAATCTGGAAAAAAAAGGCAGATTTTTCACTTCAACATGGAGCAAAAGTCAAATCTACCTACCCTATCCTTGATGATTTTATTCCATTCCCTGTGCACAAGAGCTTGGACCCTGAGAATTCTATCAATGAAACTGTGTAGGGAAGTGGAGAAGGGAGAGGTCACATTCCTTCCATGGACACCCCCTTTCTGGCCCTGGCAACACAAAGCACTACAGCATCCTCAGGGTTTGTGGATTTCATTTCATTTTCTAAATTAAAAACATACACATATATTTTGCTCCTGTATTTTCAGTAGTCTACAAAAAACCAGAAGTTTGCCTAGGTTTTTAACCTATTAAAAAAACCCCTCCATCTTGGAGGCAGTGAAAGATTTGGGGACTACCTTAACATTGCTAAGAAGTGGTGTAAAGATGAAATAATTGAGGGGATGAGGAATATAAAGTATATTTTGCATGCTGGAAAATGCTGCAGCATTTTCCACTGGCTGAGGCATGTTGTCTTTGTCTTCTTCATTGCAAAAAAAAAAATAAAAGTCAGAGTTTTCCCAAACTCTGTCATGCCAGTGTTATCTCAGAGATGAAGCATTAACATAGACCAAACTTTTCCACAAAAATTTTTCTCCCCCTGCAACTTCTCAGTATTTCCTCACTGATGTAGAGTCAGCTAAGAGTCAGCTAAAGGGAATTACAGCATTAAATGGTGTGGAGGAGATATCATCACCTTGTGACAGGTCATAAAAGTCACTTAAATACAATGGTGGCTAGAAGACCTTGGGAGGTCTTACATGAGTTTTCAGAAAAGCTACACAATGATATAAAAAGTTTGCTGTAATTCCCTTTAAGCCATTAACAATAACTGGGTAGAAAGGGGGAAAAATAGTTTTCCACTTTAAGATTCCCACACTGTTAAATCTCCTAAAATGATTTTAGGAGTATTTCTCTTCCTGAAAAATAGTAAGTGTCTAGTATAATAAATCCTTACCTAGCTAGAGGTGAAATAAAGTTTGCATTTTCCCTTTGTGTGCAGATGTAGTGACAAGACATTCCATGTGAGAGGATGATGTGACAGCACATCCCAGTTCCCATTTGCTCTGGAAGCCCATGTTTCAGTAGCTGTGGCAGCTTCAAAGGGACTCAAGCTGAGTGATCCCAGGAAAGGACAAAGAAGTGTTTGAAAAAGGAGCCCTGACAACTAATGCAAGATTATGTTCCAAGCTGCTGTGTTCAGCTGTGTCCCAAAGCTCTCAAAACCAGTGAAACAACTGGGACACTGCACCATGAAGGGAAAAAGCACCTTACAAAATTCACCTGAGTGATTTCCCATTGTGGGAGGTTACAGAAAGCTTGAAGCAAAGAGGAGTCATTACTGTATGAGACATCAAGCCTGTGCTCCACCTTGTTACTGCTTAGTTTCTTTTTATATTAAATTCCTAGGAAAGAAGGAAAGTTGATTGTTCTTTCATTAAATGCTGCATGATAATCAGACAGGTAGGGCCAGTCTGATGCAAGAAAACATCAGAGCACCAAGAGTGTGACTTTTCTCCCAGTTTTTCATCTGGTAGAGAGGAAACCTGTGCTCTCTAGAAGGTTCACAAGTTCATGTATCTCCTGGCAAGATGGGACCAACTTGGATCTGGGAATACAACCTTAGTGACTCTTTCATGGTCAACAGAACCTTGATTTTCTTCCTCCTTCTGTTGTGTCAGCCCAAGAGTTCCATGTGGGAAATCTCAAAAGGGCTAATCCTTCTTCATGCCATACAAAATACAGTTGTTACTGGAGCACTAGGGAAGAACTAGGTGGTTCCTTACCACATGATCCTGTCACACTGCAGGGGACAGCATCCTTCTTGGCAGCACCTCTATTTTCCAATAAATACTCTGTTTTTATAGCTGCCTTTCTATGTAGGGGCAGAAGGAAAGCCCTACAGCCTCGGGCACAATCACAGTAAAAACTTCCTGCAGTGACAGCAAGCAGCATTTTCTTAACCTTCACTTTTTAAACTTGCATGTAAAGAAATAAGCCTAATAAAATTAATACCAATTAAAATGCCACACAACCAAAACCATGTGGTGATTGACCAAACAAGACCTCATACTCCCTGTGGCTCCTCCATGGTAGGAGAGAATAGAAAACTGAGCAGCAGAGACAAAGCTCCAGCTGTATTTCACCTAACACTGAAGGTACACTTACACTACAGAAATGAGCACAGCCATTCACTCTCTCAGAATAGAGAACAACAGCACTTCAAAGGGAGAGGAGAGGGGAAAAAAACCCACAAAATCCCTCAAGTAAAACTCAAACAAAAAAACCCCCCTCAAACCAACAGAAAGAATGAAAGTGCAAGTCAAAAATAGGACCACAGCTTGAAAAAACCCAAAGCAAACATTTTTGGCTGATCAGAGCACAAACATCAGCAATATCACTTAAACATACAGCAATTTAATGAATCTCCTCTCCTGCAAGCAGTCTAACAGATGCTTAAAATGAACTGCCTTGCTGCTACAATATGCCTGTATTGATGCAATTTGCTGCCTGATTTCTATATAAACAAGTTATTTTATCTGCTACAGAGCTTTTTTGGCTTTTCAGTACGATGATCTCAGCCTAGGTACTGGCATGTAAGCTTTCCTGAAGTAGTATTTTTTATCAGATAGGTCAAATATGAAAAGAGAGAACTTGATGATCTAAAACAGTCCCAAAAAACACAGTTCTGCATTAAGATAGGGCCATTTAGGCTGGGGGGAACAGAAGCTGCCAATCCCACTCCATAAGGAAAAAGGGCTGTAGAGTCATGAACATTCCATTCACAGCCTTCAGAATTCCTACTTGTGAAACTGGTTGAGGAAGCAGCTTGCTCTCCCTGCTCCCTTTCCTTTGTTCCTTAAACCATTTCATTTTCCTGCTCAAAGCCCTGGGATGCTGTAAATGATCCCAGTTCCCCTGATGTCCACGGAGCCCCCCAAGCCCCAGCAGGTACTCACTGCAGTTCTCTGCCCTTTTGTTCCTGTGGATCACTGTCTTTTGGCTGGGGGTGCTGAAGAGGCTGGTCCAGTTGACAGTGTGGTAGTAGCACAGATTGCTGTTGTCTGTGATGTAGATGTTGCCAGCACTGATTTGCTTCAAGGACTGGAACTGCAGGGAAGTGATGCCTTGTTGCTTCAGGATGAGCAAGGAAAGGCCACTGGGATGAGAACAAAAGTGAGAGAGAGTAGGAATTAGCTTCAGAAGGCACAGCTTATTATATCTGGTAGGAAACTACCAAGAGTTAACATGATCTTTCTGGAAAAACTGAGAATTGTTCAGAAAACTTTTATTTTGTGGTGATGTAGTTATTTTATGAGTCAACCTCCAGCTCTATTGCCCAGGAAATTATAAGTCCTGTCAGGAGTGAGATACCACAAGCTGTGATGCTCATAGCACTAGGCCAAGTAAGCCAGCAGAACTCAACCAGTTTCATTTCATCCATTAAGAGATTTTTTTGAGATAATGTGCTGTTAGGAAAACTGAATAAAATTCAGGTTTTTTCTTTCAACAGCATTAATACTGTGTTAGTTTATATGCTAAGGAGAAAAATAATGTAAAATGTATTAAAACATCTTCTTTCAGGCATCAAATTAACATCATTTCAAGTAATACAGGAAGAAATTGTTATTTTCTTGGATTTTTTTTTTTTTCAGCCCACTTTCTACATTTCATTTTTCTTTGGTTGTAATACCTGGTTATCGCCTTTCTTCATCAAAGGAACAGTAAATGATTGTCTGCACAACATGAAAATGACTGCACATATTTTATGACTGAAGATTAGTGAAGACAATATCCAGTTTCTGGGCATCCTTTAAGTTATTGTATTTTAATGATGATAATTGTTTTCCAGCTGTTCCAAATAAAAATTGCTGCCTTGGAACAGAATGTGAGGCTGTAATTCAACCCCAAGGTTTCACTGCTATTCATATTCTGCTCAGGTTGCTGTTTAAGATGCCAGCAGAATCCCATGCCTGATTTACTCCATCTCTAAAGTGGGGATCCAGGGCATCTGCAACGTGCCTCAATGATTTCAATGTTCTTCCACCTTTTACCTCTTCTTAAAACCACTCTGTTGTTTGGTCATATAAGCCTGCATGTCTAATCACAGCCATATAAACTCCTAATAATGAGGCTAAGTTCTATTATTCATTCCTTTGACACTATGCTTCTTCACAAGGTATTTTAAACCATAAATGTAAGTTCCAGACAAGAAGGTAATAGCTACAGCTGTGAACCAAGACGTTTTTTTATAAATAATTATGTGGAGAAGGTATTACCCATTATAAACAACTGATTAGCAAAGATACTGGCAATGAACACCTTGGTAACAGAGGGAAAAAATATATCAATTTACAATGTCCTTCCCAAAGGATGTTGCATTTTCTGTAACTGAACAAAGAATCACAGGACACTAATAAAAAATTATTCCACCAACAGACAAGCTCCTTACCTATAGAGAGCTCTCCCACCAATGGTAACCAAGTTAGAAAACACCCTGAAGTCTGTCATGTTCTCAGGCCACGACTGGATGTTCAAATACCCTGAGGGAGGAAAAAGCAAACACAAATTATTTCAGCCATGCATGGGTTAGGACAGGCTTAGCCTGTAAAGGAAAGACAGTGCCAGCCTGAGGAAAAGAAATAAGGTAAGAAATAAGGTAAGCTGCAGGCTGCTCACCACCATCTCCTCCAAAAAGAGAAGAACTTGTCCTGATGTCTGAGGTGAGCACTGCTCACCTGAGCAGGTGACTCTGCAGCAGCAGGACACATAGGTGTGAGCACTATGTGCTTTACTTCCACTTCAGCAGCAGGGCTCAGACTGTCAATTAGTGTGTTTAAGAATTGCACATAACATTCAGCCAAGTGCCAGATTATCTTTGACATTAATTAGGGAGAGATTAAGAGTTTACTTTCATTTTTAATCCCACCTGTTCGCTGAAATTCCCAACTTTTGAGGGGTGAAGCATGCTGAGCTCCACACAGCTACAATCAAGCTGTGGTGCCCAAAGGTATTTTGGTGGGGCTTTTTGTGCATGAAACAGAACAAATTTTTGCATTTCCCTACCCATACATAATCAGAAATCAAATGAGAACTCAGAACACAGATACTACTCTCACTGTAGTGTCTCCCTCCCTGTCCCCCACATGGTGAAACAAGAAACAAGATGCAAGAAAACAAAGTACTGACTACTTGTTTTATGACCTCTTTGAAAAGTCACCAAAAAATGGGACTCACTTCCACCACTCACCACTACATTATACATTTTTAAATTACAGAAGCTAATTTGCAGCAGCATTTTCTGTTGGACCCAGGGAAGGAGATGTAAAAGCAGACTGGAACCTTCAAATGCTTTCAGATAAAGAAAACGGTTTCCCAAATTTCAGCACCATTTGCCTCACATTTCCCTCCCCTGCAACACTTGTTCTACTTTGCTAAAATGGGACCAAGATCCTTTGTCCACTTAGCATCTGCTAGAATAGGCATCAAAGGAAAATACACTTGTGAAAATCAACTGATAGTGAAGTTTTCTGTATTAAACTTATATAAAAATTACAGAGTGATGCGCTTAATGCAAACAAGTGCCTTGTGTTCTTCAGAAAACCCAACATATGACAACTATAAAAGGAAAGTGAGAATGAATTCATTAATTACTGCAGATTACAGGAGATCAGAAGTGTGTTACCTGTTATCTCTCTCACTGTTTGGAAGATATTTAATTTCTCTGGATTGATGGCAGCGATCGTGTGATATGGGTCTCTGAAAGATTAAAATCACATCATGTGACACTTTAAACAAAAAAAAGATCAGGTTCTCAAAGCCATACCATGTAGGAAAAAAAGCATTAAGGTGCTCAACACTTTGCTTTTATGAGGGTATGCACCAAGCTTCTTCAGCCTGCTGTTCCTGCAGATCCATGTCTAACTTCTCCCTCATCATCTTGAAGGATCATAAAGGTTCAACTCATTCATGTTTTAACAAATATTTATGCTATGGAAAATTAAGGAATTCTAAACAACTAGAGTTTACTAGTTCACTAGAAGTGACCTTCCTAAAGGAAAGATGAATTTCCAGGTTTTTTTTCCAGGAATGGCAGAGCTGTGATACTGCATGCCAGGACTAACAAAGCTGCTCCTGAAAGGAGTGACCAGCTATAAGCAACACAAAGCCAAGAGCAGGCCAGCAGCTCCTCACATGTGACATTTAAAGGGCACACTTTTGAGAAGATGTTGAACAAGAAACCTCTAAAAGCACGGATCCTAGCCAAGCAAGTTTGTCCACGAGAAATGAAACAACCTCCAAAACTTAAAATCTTGAACTTAGATATACCACAGTGTGAAAAGATGGAGCTGACCTTGATTTTGAGAGTGCCATCATTTAATAAATGCATTTAAAAAGTCAACCAGAAGCTTACACCAAACAAAGATTACTCTGCAATGGCATGTTATGGTATTTTTGTGTGTTTTCTGAGAGTAGGGAACGTCACCAATAAATATGGAGCACGTGTTTCCTCCTCTCCTCCTTCTGCTTTCCAGGACATGTGATTCTCAGAACTGTTAATATTTGTTAATGTTCCAGAACATTAACAAAAAAGCCCAGTGGACCACAGAGGCATCAAACACATTATTTTAACAATGTGGGGCTCTCAGAAAACTAAATAATAAGTTTTGACTACCTAACTGAAACACAGCACTTTGCTTTCAAAGTGCATTGCCATCAAAAAAGGAAAACCCTTGCCTGCAATAAACGTGAGGCAGCTGAATTTCATCTCTAAATTCTGAAGGTAAAATAGCTTTAAAGATGCAGATATGCACTTAAACCCCTTAAACAGCCAAATGTCTGATGTTTTATCAACATATAAAACTGTAGTGTAGAGTGTATATCTTAATTACTTTAAATAGTTGTGTATAAAAACATTCATAATTGCATATATATATATATATATATTTGCATAAATTATAACAAATTCAAAAAGACTTGAAGTTAATGTGCTCAGGAAAGAAATAGGCTATAGAACCACAGGATCAAAAACTAGGACAGGATCAATTGCAACAGCAGAGTTTCCAATGGAAAAAACAACAACAAAAAATATCCTCTGCATCTTTCACCAAAATTATTCTCTGCCACCACCAAAGTCTTCCAATTCCCCAGAGAACCAGACTTTAAGTCCCTACAATCTAAAACATTAAAAATTCATACTCTAAAATTTACAGTTCACCATGAATAAATGATTTTGTGACAAAAAATTAAGTAAAAGTTGGAGAGGAAATAAGTAGGATTTTTGTTTCTCTGTACTGTCCATTTATATAAAAAACTACTTGTGGAGTCAATGTCATTTTTTAAATTTCCCTTTCATATTGCTGGTTTGCAAAATGTCATTGAAACTTTAAATAAAAAAGCTGTTCCAGAAATCTAGATATTTTCCTTCATACTCAAATCTTCTCTTCTTTTAACCTATACCAATATAATTCATGCTGTAGCAAACTTTAGGGTTGCAGAATTCAGTGCCCTCAAACCTCAAACACTTGCTTAAGTGAGTTTTCTTCATCAAGAATGAGAGACAAAATGCTACAGAGTTTCAACATTACATGTCCTGCTCTTCTGTAAAATAGAACAGAATATTTTAACTTCCTGCTTATAGTCCAAATTTAGATATTTTTCAGACAAGTACAATTTTATTCAAGGTTGGGTTTGGTTCTTTTAATGTAGACACATTTTTTAATGAGCTAATATATTTTTTCCCTCAAAAGCAGTTCTTAAACTTGAAATTAAATTTCATGTAATGCACCAGATTAATCCACACAAAATTTCTCATGGGCTCTAGCTGATTCTCTTGCATTTACTTGGCTTTTTCCTTTCCTGTGATATTTAACAGGTTTCCATCCAGCCTCTCAGTGGGTTGTTTGGCAGAGCAGATCCATGTGACTTGTGGCACTTTGAGGTTTTTCTGGACCTATTACAATGAGCAAACTTTAAACCAAAATACTGGATTTATACACCAGTGAATTCTGTGTGCCTCTGCAACTGAAACTTAAATAGATTCTTCAAAACTGATTGACAAGAGGGCAGCTCTTGTACATGTTTGTGTACTGACAGCCACCCAGACTATGACAAGTTGTGCTGAGAGAGGCTGTCTCTCTGCATATTCTGCATATTATTCTGCTGGCCATAAAGAAATTTAAACAAACTCATGGAAGGCAACTTCCTTTTCTGCCTTCTATTCTCTAATCAGCTTCTATCATAAGCCAGTGTTGAGGACCTCATAAAGTAACCAGAGAATCATAGTTGTGTTTTCTCTTTTTAGTGCAAACAATTAATCCATCCTTTCTTTTCCTAGAGATTGAATCTTAAGGATCAAGGCAGTTTTCTTCACAATGGATGGCAGAAAACTAATTTATCCTGGATCTGCTATTGCATAAAGGAAGCCTGCTGCCATCATTAAGAGGTGGATGCAATTGGTTTCAGCTGGCACTGTGCCATAACATCTTAACATTTTGTCACTTACCCATGAATCCCAGTGACAAGGAAGATGAGGTTGCCATTGATCTTGGTACAGTTTACAAACTTGTCAATGTTGCTGGAATCCACTGTCTGAGCTGACACCAAACTCCCTGTCCCAATGCCATCACATGCTGCCAAAACAAGGAGCTTATGTAAAGAACTAGGGAAAACAATTACTGAATCAGAACATGCTGACTTTACAGACAGGACTCTTCATCTCATTCAGCAGAGAGGTGTTAAAACAGCATCCTTGACCCATATTCCCACAGAGGCACGTGCCAATTTAAAACAAACACTGAGCTGCAGCACCTGCCACAGAGCCCTGGCACACTGGTATTTCACATGGGATATAAAGGCAAGTATCAACCACACAAAACCCCACTCAGCCCAGCCATGCCATTTCTTGGGGAGAAACTGAGGGGCCCTAACACTGCTGCTCCAGAGGTCCCCTTCTCTGGTGGATTTAGGAACTTAACCATCCATGCCATGAGGCCTGTTAAAAGGCTGCATAAATAACTTTTTATTTATCAGCTCAATCAGCAAGTTATTGGTGCCTGGAGAAGTGAGAGAACTTCTCTCTGTGGCCTGTGTAATTTAGCTGCATTTCCTGGGACACAGGATGCATCCAGGAACAAATCCCTCATGATTTCAACCATATAATGAATTCTGTCTTCCTAATTGAGCTCCTCTAATGGCAGCTACCAGCTGAAGCTTTTACAAACATGTGTTAGCTTTCCTCCTGAGAAAGTAAGGGACTCTATACGTGTGTTTTCGTGCACAAAACTGTCTATGCAACAACAACAATTATTTACTCAATAAAGCCAGATTAATGTGAAATCTTCCATTAGTGTGAAAAGTGGCATAGGCCCACAGAGGAAAATTTATGATGCTTTGCTCCACAGACCTTCAAGCACGGAGCAGAAAGTCTCCTTGCTGGAGTCTAGAACAGCAAAGTAACCTACAGATTCCAGTCCTCTCACCAGAACCATCACCAGTTGTGTGTGAGACACTGAGAAAGGAGGTAGAAGATTCTGGGAAAGCAGAGACAGAGGAAGGAAATGGAAGCTTAATGCTGTATTGACAAATATGAGACATCACAGACATTGAAGTCAGGGGGTTTTTGTATGGCCACCTTTGGAATGACAAAAGGACAATGCTAAAACACCTCCAGGAAACACTTGTCATTAAAATAACACAATGAAGAATTCTTTCAGATTTCTCTAAGACCAACAGAGAAATCCCCTTCATTTGTATCTAATAAAAAATAATTGGTTTGGTTATATTACCATTACAACTTAATAAATTTTCACTCTACTCTATGTGCTTGACACACAACCTACATAGCTCAAAGTTTTGTGGGTATTCAAAGGCTATTCATATTCTACAGCAGGGCTATTCATGCCAAAATAACACCCTGTGTAGACTACTTCCAAGAAAATTTATACTGAACCACTGCCTACCTTTAGGACAAATGTCAGTGCAGGGCTTGCACATCTTAATACCATTTTCTTCAACTTCCATCTTGGAGCTGGGACATGCCCGGACACAAGAGCTGGAATCCACCACAAAGTTGTCTGAAAGGAAAAAGGAAATATTGTGATATAAATAAAGTGAATAAAAGCTGGCACATGTTTTTCAGCTCTGTGTGTCAATACCTGTCGTTGCCTTGGCACTTTCCCAATGATATTAACATTCAAAGTTCTGTGTTTTCAGAAGTGTATAAGCAAAATAGGCACATTATCAGGGACTTATAAAAATCCATGAATTGTCATGATCCCCCTTTCACCCTCAATTTGGCTTTATTATTATTTGTAGGGAAAAAATAAGCTGCAGTGATTGGAGAGAAATACAGCAAGATGGTCTGTCCTGTCTTTTTCATGCAACAATATACATCTGGTATAAAACAGTGCACAGGACAATGACAAGTATTCCAGTTTTTTTCCCTGTAAAACAACAGCCAAAGAGAGCATAGACTGATCCTACCTAACTAAAAGTTTAATACTCATAAGAAAGGAAAAAAAAAAAAAGGTAAGTGTTCAATGAAGTATTTGGGCAAAGAATTATATCCCTTACAGTGCATGATATCAGGTTCTTAACAAACCAATCTGGCTTTAACAGACCCCCAGTATTACAAGCAGAACAAGGTGGTCACTGCCTGCTGTGAGTCCTCCACAGAGACTCCAATCTGGGATTTTGGATTGGATTGATTTATGATTTTATTGATTTTATTGATTTGTGAATTTATTATTGATCCATTTAATATAGATCACCCATCCTTCTTACATTGGGATAATTTGGTAATTTACGGATAAAATAATTAACGGACAACTGTAAACCTTCACGGAATGAAAGGGAGAGCAAGAATACTATCTCCTTTATTATTCTTCCCAATTAAACCAGCAGATTTAAAAGACTTTTTCACAAAGAAAGTGATGACCCTGTAACTGTTTTCTGTTACTTGTCATCATCTGGCTGGTATCTTAGAAACATGTGTGTTTTACATGCATGGGATTCCTCTTTTTTTTAACTCCCTCCTCCCCTCTAATTTTACTCTGGGTTTTTAAGGCTGCATTCCTGTCAGTATTAGAAGTTTATTCCTCATTGGGACAGAACTGCTCAGGGTAACTTTCTGTCAAATCAATATCATGAATGCATTTGGTTCCAGGTGCTGATGGCAGAATGTAATTTTTCTGAAACAGAAATTCATACCCTTTTACAATCCCACTATTTTAACTATTTATTTCCACTATTTTGGGATTTTAAAACACTGATCTGAAGCATGAATGTAACAAGCTGACCACGAAAACAGAAATCATCTTTCTTTAGGTAAATCACTCTAGGATCCTCGGGAGCACGGAATTCACTGCCTGTAGTTATCATCTGACTTAGTTATTACAGGCTGCAAGCACAAGTGGAGTGATTGTGCTCCATTCTCTCACTGTTCTCATTCTCTCACTGTTTTTAAGGCTCCTGAAATGCAGCTCCAGCTTCCCATCCCTGCAGGAGAAGGCAGCTAGCAGGGCAGATCAGGCAGCACTTACGCGGGCACTTCTTGACGCAGAAAGCCCCATAGGTGTACTTGGCGTTGTGGTTGTGCTCCAGCTGGAAGGTGGTGGGGTTGTACACGAAGGTCTGGGGGCACTGTGTCACACAGGCACCACTGTCATTGAAATTCATACAGGCCTGCAAAAGGAGGGAGACAAAAAGTGCTGAATTAAATCATACCGCTGCTTTAGGGTTCGGTTTGGTTGGGGTTTTTTTTTTTTTTGGTGTAAAAGATGGCCTTGATTGTTCAGACTTGCTGTGACAGTGAGGGATGTGATACAGAACTCTCTAACATTCATTCTGGCTACTAGGATTTTTGCTAGGATCTTGGCAAATATGTGACTTTTCAAATTAGGGAGTTTGGTGAGCCCCCTTAATTGGCAACAGTTGCCTGTTACACCACTTCCTACAAAACCAAAACAAGACCTTAATTTGTTTCATAACTACTCACATTCAACCAGTTCTCGACTTGATAGGACATTCTAAAACTGCCAAGAGGGAGCAGCTATTTATCATCCTTTAAGCAAATGCTAATGGCTTTTTCAGAGGTCCAACCCTTTAGATTTCTTACAGCATGAATGCATCATCCGGCTGAAAACTGTAATTCCCAATTAGGAGGCAAGAGGGATAAGAACTTCTTTTGAGCTAGCACAGGAGGGGGCCCTTTCCCTTACTGGCAAGTTTAACAAGGTCAGTTGCTTCACATACTGAGAGAGGAAAATAAGACTTTGTTCCACTTAGCATTCAGGCTCTTTCTTGCACAGCTGACAGAGGACAGGGAGTGTGTGGATAACAAAAGTAATGGGATGCAGGGAAAACAATTGACCGTGCAAGGCTGGTAATTAGGAGTAGAAAGCCCCACCGATTTTGATGCTCCTTATCAGCACACATCATGTCTAAGGTTTTAACCACAGATTATGAGAGAAGTGTTGGAGTAATTTTCACTGAGTGTACCATGAATGAAAGGTTTGTAAGAATATGAAAGCTGCAGCCTGGCTTGGACCTCTCTAAAAGTTTAAGCAGCCACTGCTACTGGGTATTGCCTCCCCACTAACCTGTAATCCAGGCTGCTTTAGAAGTGCTAGTCTAGGAGTGAATCCTTCTGGTCTTTCTCCAGGTTGTTAAAATACAGCTGGTTTTGCATCTTTAAAGAGTCAGCAAGTGTAACAATACTGCACATGTTCTGTCCCCTTGCCTCCTGGGCTGGGACTGAGAGAAAAGAGAACAAGATTCCTCTCTCCTACTGATTTTACTCCCAGTCCTTGTCTCCATTTGGATCAGGACCAGCAGGACCCTGGGACCTGTCATGCCAGAAGATTTCAGAAAGGAGAGGCTAATGATGTATCCAAGGACAAAATCTGCTGCTGAAAGGAACAAGCAGAGAGATCCATGATGACAGCACTGTTCTACATGGAGCATGTGCTAAGCAAAACCGCTGATCCTGTCTTTCCTGGTCCTTTAAAATACCTGTTATAAAACCTGCCAATTTTTTTCATGGAAACAGATTTTTTCTCCCCCTTAGAAAGATAAACACTTTACTCAGAGCTGGATGGCAAGTCCACCTGAGGAATAGTGCTGTGTCACTTTTCTGGTTCCACTAGGAAGTCAACCAGGCCCTCCTATGCATTTCAAGTTCTAGACCCAGTTTGAATATGAGATAAAAACATCAGTAAAACTTTGTTTTAGCATGTTTGCTTGCATTTATGTCAGATGATGATTACTGTCTTGCTTTTAGAACTGAATATGCAAATGACTGGATGGCAGCAGATGGAGGAGGATGGATGAATTTTATCTACAGATATTAAAACCGTATTTAGAACAGGATGCTGTTGCAAGATGCCATAATGCTCTAAAGGATTTGTAATGCTTTATAAGCTGTACTTTTGCTTATTAATAAATACTAATTTAGTTTGTTTCCTCAACCCATTTCTTACATGTTGACTTAAAAGGTGCTCCATCATGTACATGACAATTCTTTGATAACAGTTTAGCAAATAAAGCACACCCATACTCCTTGGAGACACGGCAATTCTCAGGAAAAATTAGTCTAGGAGATCTGGGAGCTTCAAATTTATGACTGAAATGTTTTATATACATTTGTAATTGCTTTGATAATATATGCAAATTTCTAGCATTTTGTGCTAAATGCTGCTAATTTGTGAATAAAAGCACAGGGAAATACACAAGGAAAAAAAAAACAACAAAGTTCTGTGTCTCAGCTGAAAGCTAAGCACAGTTGTCTCTAGCCTAAAGGGTTACACTTTTCACCCACTGTGTCTAAGCAAGTAATGACTAGTCCTGAAAATTGCCAGACCCCTGCTGAATTTCTTTTACATTGCTCTGGGGCCAGAAGGGAATGAGAACAAACCCTGGGTGCTTCTCTGCTTTCTGTACCAGAAAAACCTTCCAGTTGATTTTTAGCATGCATATTTTCACAGCTGCCACCATTCAGGAAGTCTAACTTTCAGGCTGCAGCATTACACAACTTAAGCTGCCAATAACTTGTCCTTTGTGGGTGAGGGTCTGGAGTGATGCAGAGTCCCCAGGCAGGTGCAAAGGAAAGCTGCTTTATTGCAAAAAACAGGCATTTGTAAGCAGTTAGGCCTTTATCAGTTAAATAGTTTAAAATCATAACAAACATAATTCAACCAACCACCATAAATGAACACACAATAGTTATATAACTTATTTTTCTACCCCTAATTGAGCTGAGTCTCTTTCCCACAGTCCTTTTCTACTTAGCCAAAGTAACAAGCCTGAGCCATGATTTTACCAGGCCTTCCTTTGGTAAAGTTTTACCTTTTAACAGTCCTTAACCTTTGAGAACACATCAGCTCTGAGGATGCTCCCCAATGCTCATTTGGGAGCAATGACTGCAATTCTCCTCTTCCTTTTACCTTTTAATACTGTACATGACACAAGAAAGACTGGCATTTTCCTGTCTCTCATGTTCAAAGCCAACAGAGAACTTCCAGGCACTGTTGGATCACCCATACCATATGTGCTGAGCATCTACTTTTAGGAAGCCACAAAGAACAGCTTTAGTAAATCCTGTCTATATCATATCCTAACCATTAGATTTCATCAGCAGCCAAACAACACATTCAGATGTGGTTTTGAAGCACAAAACCTATCAGTATCAAAGAGTTAGGGCCAGCCAAAAATTAATTTTTGCCAGTTCATTATGACTCTTTTGCCCACAGTTTCAAAATATATGCAATTTTCCATACCCTCCTCTCAACCTCACCTGGCAGTCAGCTTCACAAGTATTTCTCTCTTCAAACATGTGGGTACCTTTGAAAATCTACCTCTCTATGTTTGGTTCTAATTCTAGGCTTCCTTAGAGCTAGGTTTGCTTCCCCTGAAACCATTAGCAAAACTTGTCTCATTGACCCAGGGTGATGAGCTACGCATCTTTTGAGCTTAGTTTTGGGTTCTAAAGCTGCTAAAACTCTTAGAAGTAATGGATTAGAAACAAGACAGGTTTTCTAAAGGCCTGGATGTTTAGATTGCCTGTTTATTTAAAGAAAAAGCCATTTCTTCTTTCCATCTGAAGCACACATGTAGTAACATGCATTTGAGGGAAAGCATTTTGGGAGTCACCTTCCTTCCTTCTCCACAAAGAAGCATGTCCAGTAAAAAAGCTGAATTCAAATTAAGTCTGGCAGAAACAGGGAACAGTTTGCAGAGACAAGCTAAATAGTATTCTTGACTTTTATATGAAAAGCACACAGAGCAACAATAAAAACCATGTTCAAATATAATGACAAATACTTCTAAAAATTTGCTGTCACCTCTATAAACTAATTGTGGAAAAGAAAAATATAAAAGTCACAGAGAAAAGCATATTAATGGTTCCTAATCTGTATTTACAAATCTCATGGATGTGTTAATGGGTAATATTAAGTAGATAAATGACGTTAATACAACATGAAAAATAAATGCTAAAAATTTGCATCCTGTATCTGTGAGTGTGCATGCAGTACATCAGGAGGGACAAAACTGTGAATTTCATGGGTTAAAGCATTAAGAATCAGCAGAGTGACTGGTGGGAAGAATAAAAAGCAAAAGTGAGACGTACAAAGCAGTCGGTGTCCTTGGGTCCGTAGCAGCCGCCGGCGCACTCGCGGTGGCAGCAGTCGCTGACGTAGGGCCCGTAGCAGCGTCCGTCACACTGCTCTGCACACACAGTCTTTGTCACTGCACGGGGCAGGAAAAGGGACATGTCACACACAGCGCTGGCCACCGAGCTCTCCAACTGCTCCCCGAGCAAAGCGCCCACAGCCTGATGCAAAAAACTCCAGCAAGCGAGGGGACGGCGCTGACGGAGCCAGAACATCTGCAGGACACCTGGGTCCAGATCATCTGCAGGACACCTGGGTCCAGAACATCTGCAGGACACCTGGGTCCAGAACATCTGCAGGACACCTGGGTCCAGAACATCTGCAGGACACCTGGGTCCAGAACACCTGCAGGACACCTGGGTCCAGATCTTCTGCAGGACACCTGGGTCCAGATCTTCTGCAGGACACCTGGAGCCAGAACATCTGCAGGACACCTGGATCCAGAACATCTGCAGGACATCTGGATCCAGAATGCCTGCAGGACACCTGGGTACAGAATGCCTGCAGGACACCTGGATCCAGATCTTCTGCAGGACACCTGGATCCAAAGCACCTGCAGGGCACCTGGGTCCAGAACATCTGCAGGACTCCTGGATCCAGAAAATCTTCAGGACACCTGGATCCAGAACATTGACATGACAACTGTATCCAGATCTTCTGCACAGAACCTGTACTCAGGATATCTGCACAACACCTGGATCCAGGACATCTGCACAATACCTGTATCCAGAATGCCTGCACAATCCCCTCTTTAGGAGCACATATGATGCTCAAGGACCACGAAGAAGGAATTTTTAGGGTGCCCTCTTACCCCTGAACATCCATGAGGAATGTTACTTTCAAATCATTAGGTTTTTTAAACAGGATGTGACACCCTCTCTACCTCCCCACCCCAAAAATAACAGAAGACCCCACCAGTTGCATGTGAGTTTTCCCCATGAAGAACAGCAACACGGAGTAAATGGCTGAAATTCAGAGTGAGACCACCAGTGTCACAGCCAAATGCTGCCCCTGATGGCAATCCATTGGACAAAAGGGAACAGAACAGACAGCAGCCTTGGAAACCATTTGGAAACACCACTTGCTGTTTCTAAATCACACAATCCTGCCTTCATTTACAGATTGAAGCAACTAGATCTACCAGCTGCATTGTGGTTCCACACCTCTGGGGGCTTAACCTTGTGCAAGGAGCCGTCAACCAATGGAGCATCTGCCTCCCCTCCCTCACTCAGATGTAACCTCAATCTTCATTTTATGGAAAAAGAAATTAGTAGTATCCAAACTATACCAACCCCACTGCCTACTGTGCTGTCAGCTGTCTTTTGATAAAAGCTGGGATGATACACTTCTGAAAATAACCTTCAACACCTATTTTTTTTTTTTTTTTAAGCATTTATTTCTTCTCTGTGAAAAATACTCTTCAGGAAGCAAGAGAAAACAAAATTCCATCCAGCTTTCAGCTCAATTCTACTATTTTAAAGTATTGGTAACACTTTTATAAGTACATTCTGATCCAAAATCCCTTCACTACTTGCCAGAAATACGTAAGGTAATGCTGAAGATTCTTTCTACATACAATATTTATTTAGGACATAAAAATGTAAATAACTAAAGAGAAGTGATTGTTTGTAATCTACGGAATAAAACAATGCACTTTTAGAGCAATTTCATCTTGCTGATACCAGAGGAAAGCCCCCAGAGAGAAAGAAAAGGCTTTTGTGGCTTGTGCAATCTAATTTGAGAAATTTGGGAAATTCTGTGAAGGCACTTACTGTCAACACTGCCTGAGAAGCACATTAGAAAGATTTGTTTATTTAAGTGACAGTATTGATAAACACTAAGACAGATGTGAAACAATGGCACCTGTGGCTGCCTGCCCCCAGCACACTGTGGTGACAGTCTTGGCTCATGAAAATGAACAAATACCATCCCTAGTGCTTTGTTTTCCACCAGCTCAGGACTTGCCCTGGGCTCCCCCTGTGCCTCGAGGCCATGCAAGGAGCCCACTGGTAAATCCCTTCCTTGCCATGGGACATTTTGCTTAAACCTGGCAAGTTTTGGTGTGGATAATCAGTGCCAGCCATCTAATTCACCTCTGGTTTATTTATCACAGAACCAGCTGCTGTTGGGTGTGGGCCACAATGTCCACCCTGCCCATGGAGCCACTCATGGTGCTGGGAACACCAAGGTTTTGGGTTTCAGCTTGGGCCATTCACACCAGAGCTGATCTGGAGGAAAACAATCCTCTCCTCAGCACAATGATTGAACTGGATGCCTTCAAAAAGCATGTTTTGCTTCTGTTTAGACACCAGCTCAAGGAGGGTCTCTACCACGCTGCTCAGGATAGGAAACACTGTGAGTTTTCCTGAAGCAAAATCAATAATTACAGCAAAGGTTTGTCGCTGTTCTTCCCCAGCTATTTATTTTTCAGGGAAAACAAACAATGCCAACATGCTGTTCTAGGAAGAGGCCAGAACATATGATATCTATCTCCTGCTTCACTGTATGCAATATTTACATTACAGCTGCTGCTGAAGGTCCAGGTCTGTGGAGAACCTGTCAAGTGTCTTCAGTGGCATCATACCAAGCCATTAATGAGCTTAGTGGGCTCTGAATCTTAAGGACTCTTTTTAAGACACTTTAAAAGGAAGGTTTTTCCCCAAGACAAAGCAAACACAAGGCAGTTCTGTGTATTGTCTGAAAGCCTGAAACAATCTGATTGCTCAGATGCCAATAAACATCACTCACCAGTTCAGCTTCCTGCAATCATTGTCAGGGGTAACCCCACAGAAAATTCACGTAGCTGCACTGGTTTGAAAAGATAACAAGCTTTTTTCCCCAAACACTTTCCTCCAAATACAATCAATTGTTTTTATAGCTGTAACTCGAGACCTATCTGAAAGAGTGAATTATAAATATTTTTCAAAATGTCAAAGTATATGGCATTTCAGGTGTCTGGTACTCATATCTTCACCCAATACAACCGTGAGGAGAGCCTCACTAATCCCAGCTGAGACCCCAAGTTTGTAAGCAGACCTTTTGAGGGTCAACACTACCTGCCTGGATTCCTACAGCTCATGTGTGTGATCCCAAGAATTTGGAGGGTTAAACCAAAGTCCTGAAAAATGTGCTGTACATTGAGATGGATTTCTGGGTGAGGCTGTCAACTTCTACCAGGATTTCACAGCAATAAACTGTGTCAGGGATGGGATGAAATGACCACCTCGTGTACATGTGCAAATTATCAGCCTCCTTTATATTTCCCCCTCATCTTTAATTGCATCAGGACACTATCAATCCATGAAGGCAAAAATGGGAAGGAGCTGAAATCAATGTTAAGTGTTACAAACATGCAAAGTTATTAGAGCGATACAAGGGTTTTAATTAAAGATGCTGGCTCCAAGCAGAAACTCTGGGCTTTCCTGATTGATCCCAGCTGCTGCTTCAGCTCTTTCTGTGTTCCCCACCAGGCTCCTGCTCGCCTTTTGCTGCTCTAATTTGGCACCTTCTCCTCAGCACAAGGACAGTATAAATACAATTGTGCTCTGACCACACTCCTGTACACACACAGAGTCGTGGAGCACTTGACATTTGCTAAATGTTTCATGTTTCAGCTTTGATTTACAGGTTATATTTGTCTTTTTGCATTCCCTTAGTTGGGTCTATATTCTAATTTAGGTTGTTGTCTTTACAGTTACATTCCTCTTGGAAAAAGTGCATAATCTGTCACTTTAATAATGTATTGAATTGTAAAAGTTTCAATTTCCACATGAAACTCTTAACAGACATGAAATGCAAAAATTTTAACAACCTAACCCTAGATTTTAAAATTTGGTAAGTGCAAAATCAAAAAAATCCAAAAGCATTTTTTATTATTATTTAAAGTGGTTTATATTCTATTCAGTGTGTGCCCAATACAATTTGAAAAACAGTCTTTTTAAAAATATTTTCACATTCGCCTTTCCTGACACTGAAACAAGTTATATCATCTCAATTTCAAATTCTTCCTATTAACATCTACTAATATTTTAATTATAAAAGTAAAAAGGATTGCTAACTGTGTAAAACAGTACCCTGGAATTTTATCTTCTCTACCTCCTAACAGAACAACTTGGCTTTAATTTCCTATTAATTGTCTTCTTAAATACATGAATTTTCTTGTCACATTTACAGAGATGTTAGAGTTAGATGCAGGTGGTGTTTCAGACAGAGTTAGCAACAAAGACATTGCTGGAAGGCAACATAAGAAGCAGCTAGGTAGATGATATTCATGAAAAAAAGAAAGGGATTTGGTTTTTTTTCCATATGTAATTTGAAATGAAAGACATGGATTAAGATCTTTCATTTTTTTTATCCTTTCCCAGGAAAATAATTTAAATCTTATCTTGGGAGGAGGGCTCATTAAAATATTTTGTTTCAATCCTCAATAAAAAAAAAAAAAAAAAAAGAAATTATCAAAAAGCAGCTCTGAATTGTTTCTAGGATGAAAATGGTTTGGCATTAGATGTAGCACTGCTGGAGTATTTTCCTACACGTGTTGGAAAGACGTGCATCCCCAAGGTTATGGGGTAAAGGTTGGCACAACGTGCACACCATCACTCATCCTGTCTCCAGCTTGTATCTAACAACAACATCTGCCAGCCCAAGAGCCAGGCATGTCTTTTAAAGTCAGACATGAAGGCACCAAAAGCACAGTCCAAATTGCATTTTTAAGTTTTGAGTCCCTACTCAAATTGTCCCTCTTTGCAGGAAACACATTGTGTGAAAACCCAAAGAAGACATACCCTTTACCAGCCTTTTCCTTCAATCCTGCTGCTTGTCCAAGGTGCAGCAAGGTCAGGGAGGCAAAGGGGAAGACTGTGATGTAAAATGAGTTCCTGTCCCTGACCATCAGAGGCTGCAGAGTGGGCTTGAAGGTAAGAGGATGTGGAGTGGCTGCTCAAGTGGAAGAGTGTGATCTGTGTATCTCCCTTGGATGAGTTATGGCTTTTCCTAGTTTATTATCTTAACTCTGTGGTTGTGCCTTAGCCTGTCCCTGCTGTTTGGATTTGCCAGGACAGGCACTGTGAAGGGAGAGAGCTGTCACTCCTGAATCCAGCCTTCCCTGCAGCCCTGCTGAGCCCCTGCCCTCACAGCACTGCAGAGCAGCTTTTCTCTCCCTGCTGTTACTCCATGAACCCAGCAAAGCAGCTCCCTTGTCTGAGAGCAGTGCTTTGTGGAGGCTGGGAGCATGGGAGCTGCTCCTGCCACACAGACTTGTGCAGGTACACAGCTGGACTTGACATGAGGCTGGAGACACAGCCTGATCCAGCATCATGGGCTCTTTGTGGAACAAAAATGCCAGGATTTTAAACTCTTCCTGGATAAGCTAACCACAGAAAGCCTGAATAAATCCATGTTTGGATGGATTATGCAGCTTCTTACAAAGTTACAAGTTTTAATAGACAAACAAGCTTCTCATTAGGACAGAGAAAAAAAAATCATTAATTAATAGCAATGACATAAAATAATTCTGTTGCCTAGGGTTTAAGTCCCTTTCCATTATCTACTTAAACACACAACCCAGAATCTACTTCTTTTCCTGGTAAGGAGCACTGACTTCCTTGGTGCCTTCATAAAGACTGCCAGCAAAGGAAGGAGATGTCCTGACTTAATTCAGACAAAGCAGAATCTGCTCTGCATCACTGTATCTTAGTCCTACAATATGTCCTGAGGGGTTTTAACCATCCCTGCAGACAAAGGATATGAAAATATGAAGCAGCAACACAAGAACAGGTGAACTTTAGCAGAGCTGTCATTGTGAGCAGCTTCTCCAGTAGAATCAGCTGGTGCTCCTAAAGGGAAAGCAGCTCCTGGCAGGGTGGCAGAGCCACTGCAGGTATGTGGCTCTGTCCCCTGGGTCACAGGCAGCTTGGATTTCCTGCTCAGACACATGAGACATCCACATCAAGCTGTCTCCCAGTTCTGTCCTCTCACTCCAAGTAGTAAAAAACCCCAAACAAACAAAACAGCAGCAGCAGCATCGCTGCACTGTTCCCACCAAGTCCCAGGAAAGAGGCAGGTGACCCTGGGCTGACTCAGCTCAGAGCTCAGTTGGGAGGCTCATCTGGGAGTGCCTCATTTGTCACAGTCCTTCCTCCCATTTATAGCTCAGCCAAGGAAACAAGCACAAGCTGGAGGTGTTCTCTGGGGGAGCACCCAGCAGCCACTTCATTTCCCAGGAAGAGTGATTCCAGTAAAAGCAGCTGGTTCTCACCCTCCTGAAAGCAGGAAAAATGAAAAAGAAAAAAAAAAATTTGTAGAAAAAGACAGCTCTCAATTTTCTCCTCTTTTACTATCTGCTAATATTGTGACTTTACTTCTAGCTCTTTAGTGCCTGTGTGAAGGAGTTTAAAGCACACAAGGAAGAAACTCATTTTAATGCTCTCTCAATTCAAGGGGACAGACAAACGTTGTGAGTAACCCATCACTACTTCCTTCACAAAAACTATTATCCTCTCTTTCAGTACAACTCAAATACATTCTGAAGTTATTATAAAGAGAACAGTTCTGCAAGATAAGTGATATTCCCAGGCTACCACTCAAATTAACAGAGTATTTTGTTATCAGGAGCTTTTCAGTGTCAGGTGGACATTAAAGATCTCCAAATCTTCCTTATAGTTTTTTTCTGTATTCCTGCAGTATTCATTCCAGTGTATTCCAAAATAACCATCAATATTCTCAAGAGCCATGCTCCATGTTGCCACCAAGTAGTGAAAAGAAAATTCAAGTTAGCATAAGCAGTTTTAGAAAGCATAAAGGAGGAAAGAAAAGTATCATTCACATGGGTGGGGGAAAAAAGCAGATCATCTATTGGTAAAAACATAAGGAAGAAAAACCCCATTGTATGTTTTAGAGTCCTGTTGAACCCAGAATTTATTACAAGTGAAAGAAACAAAAATAGGATCTCTGCTACATTGTTTTCCAGTCCTTTGTTTCTCACTCTTACACACTTACAGGTCTGGCAGTGATTCTCTGTTGGTCCCCAGCACCGTCCTGTGCAGGACTTGTGGCAACGACCACCTGCAGGACAGACAGAAAGAGACAGATTGGAAATGTGGGTTCCTTTCATTCCTTCAACATCCAGCAACTGTGTAAGACAAGAGTCCATCTTGTCTTTTCATACTTTTTATACTTTTTATACTTTTTATACTTTATACTTAATACTTTAGCAAAGTTGAAACAGTGCCTGTAAAAAAAGCCCAGCTAAATAACCAGACCTGGTATCAAACTTACATGAAATACTTATCTAAATGCTTTATACCCTAAACACCTTTTTGCTATGCATAATGACTGGGACATTTTAAAACAAAAAGAAATATCAGCAAATCTGGAGGACTGAGGAACAATGCCATCACTCATCACTCAGTGCTGTCACTACTGCCTTCCACAGCCTATGTGACCTGCTGATTTCTCCACAGGAGAAGAGATGGCTGTGACATTCCACTCAATGCCTTTGGTTAGAAGCCACCCCTCTTCCCCACCAACTTACATGGTCTTCATGTCCAATATTATAGTAAGGGAAATTAAGTGTGCAACCACTTAATCCCAGTGACAGCAAAGCTCACAGGACCTTCTGTTTTCTGGCTGCTGGTTCTTTAGTTGCCTGTGGTTGTGCTTCAGAAGGAACCTCATGTTCCTTCAGACCTTGGATGTGATGCTCTGCATCATGTTTCCACATGCTGATAGTTTTAGTCCCTGAAGAAAAAGAGCTGTAGGCGCTTTCACTGTAAAATATAGCTGTAAGAGTGGTAGGTCTGTAAACCTACCATGTAGCAATGGTAGGTTTGGTAAACTACCTAGGAATTAGTGACTGAAATCCACTTGGACTGAAGTGGGAGTTGAGTTCATGTGTCCATGTTATGGCAAAATGCTGACCTGTGTGAGAGGGGATGGTGAGCAAGGAGAAGAGCTGGAGTGTTCTTCTCTGGCTGCACTTCAACACCTCTGGAGAGAGTGCTCGGACAGCCTGGGCTGCTGGGAATGGAGACCCCATTCCATGGCTGCCATCTGGACATGGCCAAAGTCCAGGCACACTCCCAGGTGTGGCAGTGCCTGAGGGGCAGGCAAGCCCTTCACAAAGCCAGAGCTGATGGGATGAGCTGAGGCACACAATGTAAAGCTTGTGGAAGACTGCACAGTCCTTATCGCCGCACTTTTGATCACAGGAGCCCAACCTTGTGTTTGATTTAACTTTTATACATCAGTGAACACTGCTGAGATTCTGTAAAGTGAATTTCCCCTTTGAACCTGATCCAGGTTCAATCCTTTCAATTGTGTATTAACAGCTGCTGCTGCTAACTCTGCTCCATTACACTAAATCAAATACTTGCCACATGCCCTGATGGGAGACAGCGTCAGAGAAAGTGCAAAATGTCTCTCAGCTAAGGTTGGATCACCCCAAAGACAAACACTGTCCCTGTGCTGGCAGTGTGCTCACACCTGCAAGATGTTACAGAGCTGAGCAAACCCACCCTGATGGTCCTGTCAAGTCAGACTGTGTGTCACTAATTTTTCAAAGCCAGCATTCCTTCCTTGGCATTCCTGGTGCTATTGATGATGCTGCCTAGTAATTACCACACTGAATGCCAACTACCTTGTTAAAAATACCAGCTCCTTGTTGCATTCATGTTCATTTAAAGCAATTATACTTGGGAAACATTGTTGCTGATATCACCAGCACATAATTCGCTGTCACCTTCTACCATCTGTTTATTTAGATCACAAATGTACTATAACTACATAAATACAAACTCATTCTGGCTGACAGGGAGGGCACTCCATCTGGCATGAATAATGCAACTTTAATCAGTAATAACGATTATTATGATTATTAAGAGACTACTGGAAGCCTGCACAGAAAGAAAATATATCCACATTGATTTATAAGAATGAAAGTTTAAATTGGTGAAGTAAACAGCAAATTAAAGGAAGAATTTTAGCAGATGAAGCTTGATAAGATACAGGTTGTTAGCTGATTTTGGTACTTGCTGAACTGAATTAGAAATGCTCCCCTTAAGAGGGTTTTATTAAGTAGCTACTCCTGATCAGCAGGAGGAGCAGGATGGATGCACACTCAGAGAACTTTCAGCACTGTGGGCTGTGCTCAGCCCTCCCCTGAGCTGCAGCATCCCTGCTGGGGCAGCTCCAGAGGAACCAAACCCACCCACAATGTGGGCTCCTCCTGAAAGACTCTCCTCCATCCCCATCCTTCCTTGAGGTCCAATCTCATGACTCTCTAGGCTCAGAGGTCTGGAGCTCAGGGAGAAAGCCAGAGGCCCTGCATCCCTCACCATAAAGCACCACACAGATCCCTTGTAACCACACGTTCCAATTTGGCTGCTCCTTGCCCTTTTTGTCCCTGGATTCCACCCCCTTCTGTACATTCTGTAAACATTGGGCTTTCCACTGTAATACCTGCCATGGTATAACACAGAAGAAACTTCAGCATCCCTCCAAGTGATCCCTAACTAGAGAGTCTGCCCACACCTCTGTAAAAGCTGCACTTAAAATACAAATCTTCATTTCTGAAGCACCTAGGTACTGAGCTGATCTTCGGTATGCAGCCAAAAATTTATTCAGCTGCCTCTATTCCTCCTGGAAATAAAAGCAATTCAGCATCTTCAAAACATCATTTTAAAAATTTTTTAAACTTGCATGCCTGCTGCCTCGTACATGACTTTGTTTGGCAGTGTCAGATGATGATTTGCATTTAAATAGAGATATTTAACAATAAAGCAAGAAAAGGCTGCCAGTTTCCTTTTTTCTCACTGGGAACTCAAAAGTGTCTGTTTCATTGTTTTCACTTTTCTCAGCTGTACAGACACAACCAGGAGCTGAGCCTGTAGGCAGCACACCTCTGAATTGCATTGCTGGGCGTCCTTTTGAAGGTCAAATATACTGAGAATTAAAAACCAAACTCCCTCCAAAGAGTGTATCTATATTGGCTTGTTTTTTTAAAGAGAAAAACAACTTTCTTTGCTCTCAATATGAACTGCCCTCACATCATTTGGTATTTCATCTGGTTTTCCCCACTAAGGGAAAATCTGTCCTGTAATAAGGACAGATTGAAACCCATTAAAGACCAGCTCTGCAAAATTAAGACAGAAATAGTCCTGTGGAAGTCAACATATGCACTCAGGAGTATAACAAGCATTCATGTGAGGAGCAGGTCTCACAATGAGATCTGTATGTCAGGCTTAAATGATAATAAATGTATTGGCCCTAAGGTTGACAAGGCACTTGGAGGAATTATACCACTACTAACAGATTTTCCTGTATATATCTCTTAAGATTTTCACACTGAGGCAATAGAATTGAAAAGAAAAAATTATGAAACAATTTGTGGCATAAATCATTTCTTGTGTATAAAATATTCTAGACTCCTCCAACCTAAAGCAGAACAGGCTAAAAGAATTTGGCCAAAAAAAAATCCTCTGCAGGGCACAACCATGGCCCATTCACATTATTCTTCACATTAGAGAAGGCACATTTTCCTCTTCCAAGCAAGTTAAGGAAGGAAAAAACCTACAAAAGTCTCCTCCTCATTACAGCTGGGACACTGGAGAACATTTCTGCTCCTGAAGAGTACCATTGTTTGGCACACACAGTGACAATTTGGAGGCTTCCATAATTTTCACAGGTTTTGTAATGAAATCTACGTTAAGAAAAGGCAGATTCCCATTGAAACATGAGAATTAATTTTGCTTTGGCAAACTGCACACACAGAAAACCAATGTTTTGTCTCCTGGGCTGTCTTCCCTTGGCTAAAACTACTGCAACAGATCTGAATTATGGACTGTGGGCAGAGCACCTTCCTTGTCAATTCCAGGATAGGGTTTTATTTGTGGGAAATGCTTTAGCTTTCCCAGCCAGGAAAAGTCACCAGCAGCAAATGTTTGCTCACTAGCTTGGGAGAGACCAAGGTTACCTCATCCTTGTGTTTTCCTGAGAATTGAGAAGGGTTTTCCTTTGACTCCAGACTGACTTTTATTATTTCAGAAACAGTAAAACCACAAAGGATTAAGTTACTGAGGAGACAAGAAAAGTGAAGTCCTCCTCTCAGCTCTAAGCTCAGTGTCATACAGAGAAGAAACTGATTCTTTCCCATCAGCTATGCCAGCTGCCTCGTGCAGACTCCTCTCAGTAGGAGAAGAAAAGCAGAAATAAGAGAAGAAATGTCTCACTTGGCACAAAACTTCCATTTGCTGGTGGTTTCTATCAGGTTAATAAATCATCATTCAATGTTAGGATACCTGCAGCACACTGATACTGAAGTGCAAATAAACACAGACAAAATAAAATGGCTTAGATGGTTACAAGCCATAGTTTAAAGCAGCCTCTTTACTTACCTAACAATCTAAAATAATTGATTAACTAACAAAACAGCTATAAATAATTTATTAGCTTCTGTAAGCTGCCTATAAACTCACCCTTTGCCTCAAATATACGCTCCTGCAAAAATGCTAAGGATGCCAGAGATGTTTCTATACATAACCAGCCCTAAAGTCCAAGAAATTCCAGGCATATTCTGTTCTTTGCATAGCTTAGGTGAGACAGAAGGTTTGTATAGGCCTGTGGGTTGTTTCTACAGGCAACTAAACTCCTTACTTCTATGTATGCATAGATAATGAAATCAAAATGTAATTCAAACACTGCATCATAGCATTAAGGAGAATTAAAGATACTGTTGTTGTGATGGATTGTTCTGCCTTTATCAGGCCATAATGCTTTCCCTGTCCTTGTCTGACTATTCCTATTGTCAAACATTCATCCATTCATAACTTCTTTGTTAGGTAAAAATAATTTTGCATTTCCTACCCGCCCTGTGCTAGCCTTCAGATCTCTCCTATTGATTTGGAAGTTAATTACCTAAGACAGTCTCCCACTTCCCAGGGTTTCCTTCCCTAATGGCAGAAGGAAGGAAATTGTATGTTTCAAGAAAAACTTTCCTCAAAAGAAGAAAATGTGTTACAGAAATATCTAGTGCTCATATTATCTTCCTCTTTAGAGGCATTATGGGATACAGAAATCTAAGGGTCAATTCCTCCACTGCTAACAAACCATATGCTTTCACTCATGTCAGATGAGATTTCCAATGTAGGATTAGTCCCATAAAACCCATTCTGGGTTTTCTTTAACAAGCTGTACCTGCATTGGTATTGTTACTTTTATTGTGGTAAATGGCAGCAACTGACCTTTCTGTCTCCTCTTTGTAGTTTTGCTTCTCCCCTGAAGTCTCCATGCCCAGTGGAGACACCCTGCACAAATATTAATGGGATTCCCTTACAGAGAAAACTCACATGGGGCTCATCAATGAGCACTTACACTGTGGGAGAGCACAGCACCTGT